GGCCGACGATGCAGGCAGACGCTGCAGCCTCAAGAAAGGACGTCTAAGCGATAAAAAAAAAAAAAAACCAAAAAAAAAAAAAAACCCACCCAAAAAAAACCACACTTAGCGGAAACTTGTCAGAGAATGCTCCTAAAGTCTGGTTTTCTCCTGCTGCTGGTGATCAGTGCATCTGCATCCTATGAAGCTGAACAGAATGACTCTGTGAGCCCCAGGAAACCCAGGGTTGCAGCCCAGAACTCAGGTAACACCCAGCAAGGAGGGCTTTGAGCCTGGACCCTGATGTGTTAAACTGTTTCAGATATCTCTACTGCTGGTGGTTTTCTTTTTCTTTTTTCTTTTTTTTTTTTTCCTCTTTTTTTTTTTCTTTTTTTTTTTTTTTTTTTTTTTTTTCTTTTTCTTTTTTTTTTTGGATTATAAACTTAATGGCTGGTAGGAACAAATATTAATTTAAGGGTCTGATTCAGGAGGATATTGGTGCGTAGCCGGAGAAGAAATCTTCTCCGTTCAGAAGCTGGGTCAGGGAACCGGTGTGTGATCTGCTTGCAGGATGCAATCCATTCTCTCTCCTCCTCCCCCATCTACTAAATGAGTTCCATGTACTTCCCCACCCCCCCCCCCTCTGCATGTATCTTTCTCTCTTCTCCAATTGCAGTCATACTTTGGTGTTAAATTCCTTGCTTTTTAGGAAGTTGATAAAATCCGTGGAAATTTGACTGAAGCATTGTTCTGCCAAACATCTGCCTATTCAAAGAGGGGGAGAGAGATATGCGACTTTGAAGAATGCAGTAACCTAGAAACTGGCCACTGCTAGCGTTTCTTTTCGAAAACTGATTGCTATCAGTTCGACGGTGCCATAAAAAATACGATTGTGACATTTAGCAAACTTGCTTGTACAATGGATAAAAAAATTGCTGGCAAGTCAGCTCTGGATGTCTCTACTTTGCGCGCTATGGATGCTTAGATAAGTTGGACACATTGTCTTGAACAATGGAAATTAAAAATCTGTCTTCTCGTATACTGAAAAGATATTAGGTCTCTAATTTGGAGCTCATTAACAGATGTCTTATTTTAGATCTGCAAGGCTCTGCAGCATTATACTAGGGTGTTTGCTCAATTTCCTTTTGTATTTGGTTGCTATAGAAACATAGGGTCTCACTATTGCACCGTGCCTAAAACAATAAAAGCTTAATGCATACTAAGTCTGCTGAAAGCAAAGTTATAATTTGAACCTGTGGAAACATAATTATGGGGATGACTTTTGCGATGGTGAGGTTATGAACTGGGGAGAGGATGATCTTACCAAATATTTCTCCCTTCAGGCACGTAAGCAAGAGCGGGGAATAAGGAGGGGTTAATGGGGTGATTTTTTTTTTTTTTTGAAATATTTCTTCCTCCTCTTTTTCTGTAAAAATCCTAGTTATGTGGCTACGTCTTCAGGCTAGAACTTAGCTCTTAATACGATGTGTTCTCTTCCACTAAATGCAAACCCTCACTTTTCCCACACCTAGGATCTTGATGGGAGACACCGGGTTTGCATTTCTTCCTAAAGAATGTCTTGTAACATGATCTGCAAAAGTAATGAATATGCCTTGCACAGACACATAAGGGGACAGATGTTCAGCTTACCAAAAAAGGTTAATCCCTACTAATTTCAGGGCAATCATGTGGCAATACTGCTGATTCATTGTTAAAATGCATGGTATCTGCACTAAAAAAGACAGGATGACATGGATAGCCTCCTGTTCAGACTAACTACTGCCGCGACGATTTTAATTAGGCATGGTCAGCTCCGTTACCTTAACTTTCTCTGCCCAAATGTCCCTTCCCTTTGCAAATCTTCAGCAATATGACCTTTCTTGGCTCTGCTTGCAAACTGCTGGGTACCAGGTTAGGCTTTAGCACCAAGCTGCTCGTTGGAGCCCTTTGTAGTACCGATAATTGGCACGCAAACCGAGATCTTATTTCGAGGTATTTTACGCGTTTTAGGAAAGCACAGATACCTCCGAAGCTAGCAAAACCCGGCGCTTCCTCACGCTAACTGCAAATTTCACGGCAGCTCATGGGCAATCGCCATCGCTTCAGTCTCGTTGTCAAATGAGGGTTGTGAGCCAGGTGCTGCCAAGCTGCTCTCACCTCCCTTCGGTCTAAGATCATGGAGAAGACCTCACCACCCAGTGCTCTTCATGGGCCCATCCTCATTGCTTCTGCCCTCGTTAGAGGAACTCTGAATAGAGCTGTAAATGCATGCAATCAGGATTAGGTTGGGGTGAACCCGCACGCCTCCATCTAGCCAAAGATTATCAGATATTGCCTCTCTTTTAATCCGTATGTGACTGATTGAAGGCTTCGGTAGTTGCAGGTTGCTTGATTTGCTGGTGATCTGTTGCATGACTTCAGTTAATAACTCCCTTTGGCAGCGCCTTTGGCCTCTCTTCGTTACCTCTCCCCGAAAAGCAATAAGGCTGCTGCTTGGCTGGAGTTGAGCGTGACTTGACGTTGCGTTGGTGAAGGGCTTCACGGTGTCGGGCAGCGGGGAACGGTGTGTAGGTAATGTTGTGCCTGTGCCTCTCTCTCCAGCCGAGGTGGTTCGCTGCCTGAACAGTGCCCTCCAGGTGGGCTGCGGGGCCTTCGCCTGCCTGGAGAACTCCACGTGTGACACGGATGGCATGTACGACATCTGCAAGTCCTTCCTATACAGCGCTGCTAAATTTGACACTCAGGTACAGTATGAGTAGAAAGGGAACAAGAATAATGCCTCGCCGTTAGAGCTCCCTTGTCATGCCCCAATTCAAGGAAGCGCTTTTACAAGTCCTGCGCCGCTAAAGCACGTGCTTAAATGCTTTGCTGAGTGGATGCCTTAATTTCGCTGTCCTCGTGGAGATGGGGCCTGTGCAGGTTTAACCCTTCCTTTCTTGCCGCCCTTCCTACCGCTTAGCTACTCCTCTGAACGATGATTTTGGGTTTTGGCTACAAATGCATCCTTCAGGGCTATTTTCTACCGTACATTTTCCACATACTGTATGCTATGTGCGAGGACTTGGCAAGGAGCGTTTTGTGGGGCGGAGAGCTAAGTTTCCTCTTCAGGAGGAAATATAAACGTTCTTCTAACAAAGTAAGTCTTCTGACTGTGTGACCTGGCACAGGGCTGGGATTTGAATTGGAAGTCTTTGGGCCTGGGAATGTACGACCAGATCAGCCTCTCCGGAGCTGCAGTTGCTCGCAGCAGAATAAATAGGATAATACTAGAGGACTGTGGCTCTGCCAAGGGCCCTTTTCCTTCATACTTTCTTCCCAAAATGTGCACACCCCCTTGTTCGCTGTGCTCTCGCTCCCAAGGACAAACTTAAAAGCTCTCAAAGTATCTTGAGGTCTGGTGAACCAGATGCGTCAAATCGCTGGTATGCAGCGAGCGGTCGGGCCCCCTTCCCGGAGGGCAGAATTGGCCCATCTCTGGTGCTGGCACTTCTAGGTCTGCTCACATAAACGCTTCCATTGCCTAAATCTTTTGGGAACAGGAGCTCCCTGTTCACCGTGGACTGTGTGCATCCCAACTTAAACTCCTGGGAATATAACTACGCAATAATTGGGAGCACTTAGGGTCCAGTTCCCTGCCGTGCTTGGTGAGGGACCTCCAGCAGGTCCGTAATTGCAGCAAGGGTAATTAATAGCAGCCAGCCACAGCAGAGTAGTTGTTACTACATCCCTTTCTATGAAATCTGTTGCAGTTTAAGGTTTTTCTTCTGTTTCCAGGGAAAAGCTTTTGTGAAAGAAAGCTTGAAATGCATTGCAAATGGGGTTACGTCCAAGGTGTTCCTTGCCATCCGGAGGTGCTCCACTTTCCAAAGAATGATCTCCGAAGTGCAAGAGGAGTGCTACAGCAAACTGGACATGTGCGGTATTGCGAAACGGAATCCCGAAGCCATCACGGAGGTCGTCCAGCTTCCAAATCAGTTCTCGAACCGGTACGTGGAGCTTTCCTCAGCTGAGATGCATCACATGCAAAAAATGTGCAGCTCGGAGAAAGAAATGAGAGGAACCAAGCTGACTGACTTCTTGCAAGTCCTAATATAGCCTAGCCTCAGCAATGTTCTCTGCCTCCTCAAATCCTTGTTAAGTTTTACCAGCATTCTTCTGATTCTCTTCTTGGTAAATACACTTATAAACATCTCCAGGGGAGAATCATAAAATTAACTAGACATACATTACTTCAAAGCCTGGAGTTTGTTTAAATGTTAGTTCTTTTAGTACGAATGCAGCGTAATGGCAAACAGAGCTTCTAAAGACCAGACCAGTTTGATTAATATAGCATCTCTGGCATAGCGAGCCCTTGGGAGCTTCTCGACCTTCAGTCACTTCTTCAGACTGCACCCATCCCCTCTTTCGGGGTTTGTACACACCTAGCAAACGAGGCCTTGCCCTCTGATTTACCGTGGCGATACGAAGAATTAGGAAAGCTCAAAGGGAACCAGCGGAGCGGCTCCTCTATAACCTCATTCGAGGGTGATCCAGTGGTTCGTATGTCTAGGGATAGTCTGGCGTTCTTAATGGTCTCTTTTAGGGTTGTCTTCACCCCTGTTCCTTCTTGATAGCAAAAGCTGCCTGCAGAAACGGGCACGTCACGCTGCTCCCTGGCGCCTTTAGCTGAGCAGAGAACTGCCCTGTCCCCATCCTCCAAGGACAAGGGACAGAGAGAGGCTTCAGGGAGCCGCTGCAGCCTGCGCAGTCACGCTGCAAGGGCAGGGATTTCTTCCTCTAAATCCTGGAACAAGCAGTGCCGAGTCTTGTGATTGGGATAAAAGGGATCTTTTCGAACAGTTTGAGTAAATATGCGTTAGAAATTTGAGGGCAAACAGACCAAGCTGCAATTTAACATGTTAGCGACAGGACTAGGGGCAATGGATGCAAACTGAGACAAAAGAGGTTTCAGTTGAATATGAGGAAGAACTTCTTCACTCTGAGGGTGGCAGAGCACTGGAACAGGCTGCCCAGGGGGGTTGTGGAGTCTCCTTCTCTGGAGATATTCAAAGCCCGCCTGGATGAAGTCCTGTGTAGCATGCTCTAGGTGAGCCTGCTTTAGCAGGGGGGTTGGACTAGATGATCTCCTGAGGTCCCTTCCAACCCTTACGATTCTGTGATTCTGTGATGTTGGCTGGCTGCAGCGAGTGCTACAGCTCCTCCGGGGTGGCTGTTTGACTTGATCTAGAAGCATCTTAAACTTCCAGACCTATCCTAGGACAGGTATGCAAGTGGCATATAGATGTTGCATCTCTGACCAGCATACATTTATTATAGAAAACTCTTTTGTAGCTATTGTATCCAGAAAACGAAACTTCTGGGAAGGCAGAAATCATACTTGTGTGCCTTTCCCCTCTTCCCCCAAGCCAATTTGGAAGAGGTTTGCGTGAACGTTCCTCCAAGGGCTGGGACGAGGAGCAGGCAGGGCTTTATGATTCTATGATTCTATGATTCTATACAGGCTGGAAGAGCAGTTCAGGTTAATAGGACGGATTGTAGAGCTAAGCAGCCCCCAGCGGGGCCGTAGGGGCGTTGGGGCGAAGGGGGGACGTGTGGATGCTGGAGCGAGGGAGGATGCGGTGCTAGCAGCAGTGGCGTTATACGTGTTGGGGATGTTCCTCTCCGCAGGACTGAGCCTGAACCGGAGCCGCAGTCTCCCGAAGCGGAGGGAACTCCTCCCCCACAGCCGCCAGCCCTTGCCGAAGCCAAAGGATATTATGACATGTTGAGTAACAAAAGCAGCAGGATTTCCCAGCTAATAGTTTACATTGAGGTCTCCTAAAGCATCCTGCTTTCCCAGCCCCTGTCCCAACATAGCCACAGAATAAGAATGTGCCACTTGGCCTGGGACGCCGAGAGGAAGTAGTTAAAGGTCATAGCATCTTCCTGTGATTTAATCTCATGGCAGGAGCAGGAGGAGAGGAAAGCCGGGTTGCCTTTGCTCACAGTCTAGCTGCTGAAAGGCACCAGCGAGCCGTTCGGTTGCAGCTCCAGCCATGGAAACCACCAAGCTGTGTCTGTAGGAAGGAGGTGTAGGCAGCGCAGCAGAGGAAGGTGGATGGGATCTGTTCCTCCTGTCCTGTTAGACCAGGACCTATTTAAGCTGGATGGGTGGCTCGCACAGATGTATTCATCATCAACTACCCTGCACGCTTCAGACCTTAATATCAGCGCTGCTGAGCTTTGCTTGCACCGTGCTCCCCCATACCAAAGCCTTTTGTACTTCAAGTGCAGCAGAAACTTTAACCTCACCTGACCTCCACCGGCTGCTCTAAAGGCCAGAGCTGAGAGTTAGGAAAGGAGTTTAAATGTGAACTCTCATTTCCCTCTTCCTTCCCCTCCTCCACCTGCAGCTTATTCTCTTCTCTGCTCCTGTGGAAAAATGTCACGGTGACCTTAAAGGCTTAAAATAAGTTCCCCGATGTCCTTTCAGGCAGAAGTAGCCCAGCAAATAGGGGACTGCTCCTCTTTTCCCAACTTTCTCTCCCTAGGAAGATGCTCTCTTGCACAGCCAGCTCCCACTTGCCAGCTTTGCTCTCCCTGCCCGAGCCAGCCGTGCGGGCAGGGCTGCGCTGATTCGGCCTTAGCCCCGCAGAGAGGACCCTTTCTTTGAGCGCTGTTCTCCGCTCAGCTCAAGCAGCGCTGGGGAAACAGATCAGCACAATTTCCTGGCTCCCTCCTCGAGCAAGGAACGTGTGCTCGAGGCTGCTGGAAGGCAAAAATGCAGCAGCAGGCTGTGGAGGAGGCAGGCAGGCAACAGGGCAAAGCGTATGGTCCTCACTTGTGATTTAATGCATGCTCAGCTTCTTGGAAGTGACAACTGGTTGCATGTCCTAAAGATCTGTCCCCAAGGAATACACGCATCTGTCAGGCTCTGACCTGGACTGAGCTTGCTTCTCCCTCTTCTGGTCCCTTGCTAAAGGCTGTGCATGGAGGGGAAGGGAGAGGGACGAAAGGGGATGGTGCCACAGGGATGGATGCCTTCGTGGGAAGGGTCGTACTGGCTCCGACCAGAGGTCTCTTTAGCCTGTTACCATGCCTGGTGATGGGCAGTATCTGTTTATTAGAAAGATGCAATTATTTTTCTTCCTAAACCTCTAGAAACTCAGGTTCTTTAGCGGACTTAAGCTGATTACTAGATTGTCTTAGCTCCTCGCTCTCACCTGCTTCATGCTCCACAGGGTAACACCAAAATCTTGTGCTTACAGCCTTATCTTTCAGAGCTGGAGCAGCTCCTCACTCAGGATGACTAAACCAGAAGTTTCACGGGTTGTGGGCCTTCTGCACGTCATGGGCACAGCATCGCCAGTGCCAGGGCATTCGTTAGATGTAGTGAGGATATGTACGTTGTGTGGTGTGGAAAAGCAATTTCAAACACAGCCTGAATGACTTAAAAATTCTGATTCTTGTAGTTTTATCCCTTGGACTGGTCTCCTGGCTTGAGATCAGCTCTTACCTTGTTTCTTTGGTCTTGCTGGGAGATGCCTCAGGTGGTAACGGATGGTAACTCTCGCGCAGGTATTACAACAAGCTGGTGAGAAGCTTATTGGAGTGCGATGAAGAGACTGTCAGCACCATCAAGGACAGCTTGATGGAGAAGATCGGGCCCAACATGGCAAGCCTCTTCCACCTGCTGCAGACAGACCACTGCGCCCAAGGCCACCCGCGTGCCGACTTCACCAGGAGACGTATCACCGAGCCGCAGAAGCTAAAACTCTACTTCAGGAACCTCCGAGGTGAGGGGTCCGTCCCAGCCCACGCAAAACGCAGCTCCGCCGAAAGCGCGTAACGCCCCGGGGGAGCGACATTGGGTGTGTAAGGGATGCTAAGCACTACCAAAGCTGACGTCTCTCTTCTAGAAGAGTAATGCACCCAGACCAAGTGTACTGTAGCTAGTTTTAATAACAACTAGGAACTGGTTTTAGATTTAGTCATTCATATTTTCTATTCCTCTCGAACAAAACTTTTGCATGGATCTGTGTTCAGTGTCTCAGCTTTCCCGCCGTCAAAATGTCTCCATCTCTTTTCTTGCCCACAAAAAGAGACCCCGATCAATCTTAGTCTTAATTATAACCGTACAGTAGTCAGGCCTTCAGACACCAAACTCTAAATGTACTGTAGCACTAACACCATTGAAGTCTGAAGATTTGGCACCAAGGAGGATAGCTTATTCTCTCCTGTAGTAAGCTGGTAGGCGACGATAGATGCACTAATAACTATTGCACATCCTAAAGATGTCAATGGAATTCGTGTTATGAATCTGTGCTGGCCATGGACGAATATGAATGTCATATTCCTGGTCTCCTAGTGTCATACAGTCCTAATCCTTCCACTACAGCTCCGTTAACCCCATGATTTACCAAACTCGCTAGCTGTGGATGATTCTAGTTACTGTGACCTGGCACCACAGTGCAAAATGAGTTAAAAGTAACACACACCCCCCCCGACACACACCAAGTCAGGAAAGGAACATTTTGTACTACGGAAATGATGAAAAGAGGTGCCAGTCTATGGTTGAAGCTAGTCAGAAGGTTGCATAATCTTGCATTGTATTTAAAAGCTAACATCTATGTACTGTATTTAACTGTCTAAAGCTTTAAAAGAAATCTAACAAAAACAAACCCTGTCTTAAGACTAGAGTATTAAAGGTCTTGCTCTAACTGTGGTATAAATAGTTTTAAAATCTGTCATGTACTGTACATAAATTCCACGAGAGTCTGCTTAAAAGGAGCAGAATATAATAACTTTATTGCATAAACTTAGTTTTGTAAGTTAGCTATTTCTTTTTTTTCCTGGAAACAGTATCTCTGTCATATTCAAGAGTTCACATTCTACTCTGTGGCCTTTTTAGAATGAAAGAGAGAAAATATTTAGGACGGAAATTACAGGGCCAGAAACAAGCCTCTCTTACAGTTAAAATGAAGGGGGGGGGGAAATAAAAAAGCAGAGTTCAGACTGGCCAGTCCTAGCTCCACCGAGCTGCCGCAGGACGCAGTTCTGCCCAAGGCACGGGTGCTGCTGGAGAGCTGTTGGTGGAATTCTCGGATGGCTGGTGGAAAGCCGCTTTGAGATCTCATAGCTGCCGCAGGGTGCAACCCCCTTCAGAAAACCGATTTCTGGGGAAAGGCAGGGAAAAATCCTTACATTCTCTCGAGCTTTAGAAGTAAAGCAATGTGCCTGCCTCTCAGAGGACACGTGCAGTCATGCTCTGGGATCTGCCTTTCCTCCCATCCACCTCTCCCAGCCTCGGCACAGGAGCGGAGCAGCCGGGCCCGCAGCGGTAGCTGGGGGCCTCCCCCAAACGCCGCGCTCTGCACAGTAGCCTGGCCGGGCTGCGGCGAGCCAAAAAAAGCCACATCGTGGCATGCGATCAACAAGGCCAGTTCCACGCTCCAAATCTATCCCGTTAGAGTCCGTCCGCAGAGTGGATGACTCTTGCTCAACTCGTTAGAGAGCTAATAAAGGAGGGATCTATTTTTCTTTTCAAAATCTAAAGCAATATAACTTTTTTGTTGTTGTTGTTTTAAACCACAAAGCCTTTAAACAATAACTTGCTGCTAATATATTGAAACCAGATGCAGTGGCAGCATTTCTGATATTGCTGTCTTCATTAAATGTAGCCCAAAAGTGCTGTCATAAAATTGTAAGCAGCAAAAAATGTTGCTGACGGTAAAGAGTTGTTGTTTTTTGTTTTGTTTTTGTTTTTTTTTTTAATACTCTGAATCGTGCCGTCCAGGGCAAGCAAGATGCAATATTGCTCGTTCTTAAATCACAGTCAGGTATACAGTGTCCAACACAAAGAAGTTTCGCAAGGTGAAAACCAAAGGCCCCTTGAATATCCTTACCCTAGAAGTTTGACTTAACGCTTAGGAACTGATCCCAGAGCTGTGCAGACTTTCTGCCCTACACCGTTACACCTCCCGCTGCACCCCTGGGAGACGGGGATTACCCACTGGGGAAGTCAGCTGGGGCTTGGGCATCAAGTCCATATTGGGAAATGGTGACGAAAAGGTCTTTACGTGGCTCGAGGCCGTGTCCAAACCAGCCGCCTGGGTGGCTGCTCCCAGTTTGGGTACCCAAGGCCCCCGTGGGCTCGCAGGGGCAGAGCTCACTGAGGACATCTGGCAGCCACGATTTTCCACGGAGATGCTCTTCATGGCAAGTGGCTTCTCTGTTGCTTTGTGCACCCATTTCTGTGAAAACCCAAAGAAGGTTTATGAAGGCGATTCGGGACTGGGGAGGAGGGTCAGATTACCCCGAACCCTATCTATCTTTTTTTGGGTACTCATAATTAATTTCCTTTTTCCAGTAGGAATTTAAACTTGTTGTCCCCTTAGTACGGGTGGGAAGACGACTAGAAAAAAAAAAATCCCTCCCGATTTGATTTGCTCTGGTATCACAGGTAAGCATCACCTGTGCAAACCAAAGCTCTGCCTCTCCTCCGCCCTGGCGCTGCCGCTGGGGGCGCGCCGGACGCCTGGTGTCGGAGAGAGCCTCGGCTACATCGCGAGGGTTTTGAGCTGCTTTAATCCGTCACTTTTTTGGGGGTGTTTTTTTTTCCCTATGCTGAAGTAGTAAGGAAGCCGCAAGCACACATCCATAAAACCGAACGGCCTGGGGTTCACCTTGCCTAACTTTGGCCATCTAGCCTAAGCTGGTCGTTAAAGCTCTCTCCGATCAGCGGAGGGGGACACGGAGATGGGCGGCGCTTCCCATCGACCGGGGAGGTTGCCTGATTTTTAGATGGTTTGAATTAGGTGAGAGAGATCCCCTGGGGCTGGGGAATGATTCTCAATATTAAGTCCAGCTATTTCACGTTTTATTTAATCTCTAATGCTTTATTTTTTTAATCTTGCATTCATTGCAAAGTGATTTCTCTTGGGGGCGGGGAGGGGCTTATCTAGAAATGTTTGCATGATTCTCATTGTGATTTGTTTGCACTTTAGATGTTTTGTGCCATTATAAATTTGCTTTATGTATTTATAATTTAAAGATACTTAGAAGGGGGAGAGAGTTTGGGTTTTTTGGTTTTTTGCTGAGTACTGGAATAAACAGTGAGCATATCTGGTATATGTCATTATTTATTGTTTAAATTACATTTTTAAAGCTCAGTGTGTTCATATAAAGGTTATTTGAAACATATCATAGTAATGAGAAAGATGCAAGTTATTTTCTTTGCTTATTTTTATAATTAAAGATGCATAACATAATGAGGCCTATGTTGGATTTTTCTTCTGCAATGAAATAAAATTGTCAAATTTAAGGGTTTGTGGTGTCTGCCTCTTTCATTAAACCTCACGGTGGCCATGGTGCTACCTGAGAAGCCCGTTGTTGCCCTCGCCTTCAGCTGAGCATCGTAGCTTTGGCGGCTGAAGGGCCCGGGTTTGGGTCCTGTGGTGCAGGTTGTGCGAGGCCAGAGGTTCATCCCACACCGTCGTCACCTCTTGGTGCTGCGCAGCCACGGGGCTGGCGAAAAATAGGAAGAAAAGGGCGGTGAGTGCAGAGTAGATGAGTCCTGAAGTAGCCTTTCGGCTGGCTATCGCTAGAATAATCCTCTGAATGCATTTCACAGATCCCAGCATGGCAGGGGTTGGAAGGGCCCTTGGGAGCTCACCCAGTCCCCCCCCCCTGCCCAAGCAGGGTCACCCAGAGCAGGGGGCACAGGACAGCGTCCAGGCGGGGGTTGAAGATCTCCAGAGAAGGAGACTCCACAGCCCCCCTGGGCAGCCTGGGACAGGGCTCGGGCACCCTCAAAGTCAACAAGTTCTTCCTCACGTTCAACTGGAACCTCTTCTGCTTCAGTTTGTGCCCATGGCCCCTTGTCCTGGCGCTGGGCACCACTGGGAAGAGTCTGGCTTAACTCTCCAGGCTGAACAAGCCCAGCTCCCTCAGCCTTTCCTCCTAAGGGAGATGCTCCAGTCCCCACATCATCCTTGTTGCTCTCCTCCGATCCTGGGCCCCGCAATGTCCGAGAGCGGCTGTAAATCCCAGCACTAATAAAGCTCCTGCCGTGGTTCTCTCTGACCTTGTGAGCTGAGTCTTATTTAGCCTGGTAACAAAACCAAGGCAGGACTGTTTTTTTAATGAATGCATCCATAACAGCACTGCAGGAAAAAGAAAATACCTTGATTTTGGCTTTGATGTACATGTAAATGTGCATTTGCACTTCATTCAGGAAATCTCTGATTTCCAGTGGAAGATCAAAAAAAAAACCACGTTTAATACTCATCAGCGGGAGACTGGCCCAACGGTTCAGACTTAGCTCTCCAAAAGCTACTGCAAAATTGAAAAAAAACTATTTCCCCCATCATTTAGTGTAAGACTTGGCCAAGAGAACCAAAGATTAAATATTAGCAATAGGCTTGGGTTAAAAAAAAAAAAAAAAGTCTCCTTCCTTCTTGTTTTGCCCAGCGATGTCGAAATTCCTTCCAAAAGGGGCCATTAAAGCTGTGCCTTTGCTCAAAGCCCTTTTTAGGCACAAGCAGAGGGCACAGTAAGGTGCAGTAACTTACCAAAAATCAGCATTTATCATCCTGTGCCATCAAACAAGCCGCTGCAGTTGCCAGTGCTGGGGGCTGATGAGCCAGAGCGATGCTCGTTTAACTTTGCTGTGAGCCGGGGCCGAGGTGCCGAGGAGATCATCCCGTCCTTGAGCTCCGTTCACTGCGATTAATTAATAGGTGCTGGCAGGCCACCGCCCCCCCCCTTACCTTGGTACCACTTTGGGAATGCTCCCTATTCCCAGCTCCGGGTGAGCGTCACGGTTCCAGCAGGGGTTGAGGGAATAGCTCAGAAAACAGCAGAAAGGGCAATCGCATTCCTCAGCCGAGCGCTCGGCCGTACCGGCAACTTGGTGAGGTTCCTCCAAAAATCCTTTCCCCAAATGGAAAAGTTAAATT